GAATGGACCACAATTTTAAAACTACAGACGTAATACTTGCAAGGCTTGCAATACAAGCACACACGACTAGCTATATATATGGCTACTTCTGAGGTGTGAAAAAGTACGGATATTTCTAGAAGCGCTAGAGACATGGGGCAAAAGGCATTAGATAAGGTTTTGCGAGAAGGTTCGCAGAAAAAGCAAGAAATTCCGACCACTCTGTCCCATTACTAACTCTCAAGATGCTTTGCGAACACTTTTTACATAATGGTACATCTTATGGAAGTAATTTTTATTTACTTTTGGTAGTACAAATTTTGTATACAAAATAAATTTTTGGAATTGTGACTGATAACAAGAAGTGAACACTTTCTCAAGAAAATTGTTAAAGTTAATACAATCTATAATATACATATATAAAAGAATGTAGATGTACGAGTATGTAGGTATGCATTTAGTTATGTATTCTTTTCGCGATCTGCTGTAAAATGTATTAGTAAGCAAAACATAAGTGTACATTAAACATTAAATTTCTTGACAAAATATTGTTAGGGAAAAATTTAATAAGAAAATGTTATTTTATTGCTTTTTTTTATTATTTATTTATTAATTTTTTGCAAATAAGGATTTTTAATAGTAAAATTTTTTAGTTTTCATTTTGAATAAGAACAAAAAAAAAATGATCAGTAAAAAAAAGCTGATTTGGCAATTCGCATTTTTCAGGGTTCAAACTTGAGACCCCTTGCATATACATAAATTGCATATATATTTATATAAATATATGCTCTTGCATATACATATGCTTTATAATTATATTTTAAAGCATATATATTTATTTATAATAATTATGTATGTTTAAAATAAAAATATGTATATAAGTTAAATTACGAAACAAAATCTAATAAAAACGATAAATTTTTAGCACGCGCAATATTAATAAAATGCAAAATCAGCGCATCAGCTAATTATTATGACAAATTATTTCAACATATTGACCGGTGGCCACGTTGCGTTTACACAGGTAGAACTTTTTATGAAAAATAATATAAAATTGTAACTTCACTTTTAAGTTAGCTTTCAAACGGATAAAGGTCCTTAGTAACTATAGCAAAAAGGAACTCCACAGCAAAAAAATTATGTGAGCAGCTGCATAATCTGCTGGCCGAAGTCAATACGGACTGTGCTGTCATGAAAAAATTATCATGCCGTAAGTCTGATGAAAATTATTGAAGTTAAGACAAAAGTAATTGAAAGCTGGCTTAAAAGTCATTTATTTTGAAAAATAAAATTCTTTTTAAAGTGGCATAGAAAATAAACTGACATTGAATTTCTTCTTACGAAAAAACGTAGCGAATAGTAAAAATAATAAATAAAATAGTTAAATTTGTTGAGAATTTTGATAGGAGATATTTCTGGTTATAAAATATGTTAAACGAATAATTCTAATGAATTTTTGTTTTTCTTTTATCATAAACATTAACAAATAATATTACTTATTACCAATTGAATAAAAGCAAAAGTAAACAAATAAAAATACGTCATTAAATTAATAAGTCGTTGTATAAATAGCTTGATTACTTCCATTATTCATACAGTAAAAGTTTATCTTAATAAAAAAATCTTAATAATTTTAATGATCTTTAAAAACAATTTTTTAATAGAAAATTTTGTTGTCTTTTAGTAGTTTAAAACATTTATGTTATTTTGAGAAACCTTTACTAAATACCGAATATTTAAAACTACCATTTAAATAAATACATATAGTGTTGTATTAAATGAATCTGTAAATCATTAAACCTGATAAATCAGAAAAAAATATTTTCCTTTAAAACAAAAAAACAATAATTTGTACAAGATAGAGCAAACAAAGGTTATAATTGATAATTTACAATCTGAATCTGCATTTGCCAATTTTGAATTTTGCTAAGCTTAAATTTAACATTATTGGATTCTGATGAATATTGGTTATTGGATTCAGTAAAATTTGCGAAACTGTTTTGTTGTAGCCAATTGATTTGCCAGACATGATCTACCATATTTTACATATGATCTTTCACACTGAAGAACACGCCGCCCATATTTCAAAGGACGTGAGTTGATATCATACGAAAATATATTAGTACGTGTTGCTATGCCTACTTTGATTATATTTTCATCTTTGGGGCGGACGAAGAAGAACATTTCAAAAATCTAGAGAACACCTTCAGAACTCTGGAATCCGCTAACACGAAAGTCCAATTGGATAAATGTATCTTCAGAGGCAATAAAAACAAACCGAAAAAAAGTCAAAGCAATATGCAACAGGGGTTTGAGATCGTTCTCGGGAATGTCAGGGCATTATAAGCGGTTTATACACAACAACGCCAAAGTAGCCAACCCCTGAAAGGCAAATAGAAAGGTTTCACTTCACTGTTGTAGATTATGAGATGCCTCAATGCAGAATTTCATAATGATTGTGTCGAAGATCTATGACAATGGACAGTTTACAAATATAACGGTACAGTACATTCAGTAACAGGAAAAATACCGATAGAATTGATTTTTGGAAGAACTCGCAACATAACTCCTGACGAATTCCAAAAAAACTAGACTATCGAACATTGAAAAAATTGTAAAATAAAAAAAGGACCTTAATTACCATAACAAAAAACGATACACGATCGTTCAATACAAATCGAGTCGTACATAAATCTAATATTCACTCTTAAAACATAATGATTCCTCAATTCTCATAAACTTTAATGTGCCCTTATTGCAAGTTCATAATAATTAAGTCTTAGTTGAAATCCTTTTTCTTATTATGTAATATTTTAAGATTCCTTAGCACTTAACTGCAGGAGAAGTACAAATTTTAGACTGTACCGAAGATCGAAAATTGTGGCTATATAATTGGGCAAGGCAAAAATCCAAGATGGCAGTTTCAGGCTTATTCACATAACCAACCTAGAATCGGCACTGTATACTCAACGGCGCCTTAAGGGAAATTAGCAACTTCTTAAACGAAGAAAGCGTCAAGTCACACCCATTATCTACTTGACGAATAAAACATCATCGAGAGAAAAGGGGCAATCAACGAAATCGGCACTGTATAGAAGTGGATAGCTGAAAATTCGGATAATGATGACTTTATTACGATCAAAGACAAAATTAACAACATGTTAAAAAATAATAACAAACAAATAAAAATAAATAAGGCCTTTAATGAACAAATTAATCCCATAACTTTATTTGTTTTATCTTATTGAATTGCAACTAACAAAAAATTATCAGTATGAGTAATCTAACGATAATATAATTGTAAAAATAAAGTTTAGTATAATAAAGAAAATGCATATGAAATTATTGAAAATTGTGAAGTATTAAATTCCATAACTATTTATAATAATAAAAACATAATAAATTTAGCAAACTCCACTTCTGTACCTAATATATTCACAGGAAAAAGTGCTACATGTAACGTCACCAATAGTAACCATCTACCAACAGTTGAAAAAATAGCAGAATGCATCATTTTACTCAACCGATATAATGGAAAAATATAAATTGACAACGTGAAAAGGGAAGTCAATAGATTATAGTTTTTAATAGTACACAATTCTACCATAACAATAGACAGGGAATCCTTCATCTCTAAAGAAATTCCAAGAAACAAAATTTTACCAGCTATCCTACAAACCCATTTCATTAGAGAAGAATTATTTTTCAATACTTAGAAATTGAGTTACTCAAGGAAGAGGATAAAAAGGGATGACTACTAAAGCTGCATCACGAGTAAAATTATCACAGACATCACGATGAAAATCGATCAAGCAAAATTCGTTCAGCATCCCAACCTTTTAACATCAATCAAGTGAGGACATACGACTTTTGAGAGGGAAAGAGTTAAGTTACGAAACGAAACTTAATGAAATTTGATTCATTTTTCAACAGACGTAATATTAAAAAGTGCAAAATCAACGCATCACCTAATTATTATGAGAAATTATTTCAACATAATTAAAGCAGGTAGAAATAATATAAAATATATATGAAAAATAATATAAAATTATAATTTCACAGTTAGCTTTCAAACGGATTAGATTAATAAGAAGTAAATTCAACAATTGATTCATTTTTATTCGTAATAAGAAAATATAATAAAATTATAAAGTTTATTTTTGAAGTAAATTTAAATTCCTGGGCTTACAAGTTTGATAAGAAATTAACAAACATACATTTATACATATGTTGAAAAATTATGAATTTTTTTATTCGAACTCACATAATTTTCTAACTATTACTAACAATATTTTCAAACAGTCTCTGGCAATATTTTTTATGTTGTAAAAAACAAAAAAGTAACGTATTTTGTGTTGGTTTCAAAAGTTATTTGCCAGCTATCCATGTATTATATTTTTATCGTATTCGTATTGCAGAATGTAATATCTTTATATCTAGCAAGTCCCAATGCTAAGAGAGAAACTTGAATGCACGACCTTATTTTATATGGGTTTTTTTTTAAAGAAATAACAAAATAAACCTAAAAAAAGATGTGAAAATCATAAAAATGAAAATCAAAAAAATTTAAACGACTTATTAAAAATCTCACGTTTTTCATATTTGTGCATATAGCATTATACGAGTATGTGTATACATATATATGGGGACATATGTATGTATGTAATTAAATTACATTAATTTAAATTTTACATTTATTCTTGCATAAAATAAAAAATAATTAATATTCATAATTTTACATATGATTAAAATGCATTAATGTAAAGTTTACATTTAAAAGATTTTAATATATGAATTTCTGATTTGAAAAGTTGGAAATAGACATGAATAATCTACTCTGACCTTTCAAAAACAAGACAATCGTAAAACTTTTTTAATTTTGATTGTGATTGAGTATTATACAAAGCTTACGTACCCCTGCTAGTAACAAATGGGATTTTTATATGATGATGTTGGAAAAAAATTTAATTTAATAAAAGAAGCAAACCGCTACTAGTAAATAAATTTTGATTTTAACTTACCAAGTGACAAAATTGAAGTTATCAAGGTGTACTCAGTATTATGATTTTTTATATAACAATTCATAGGTACCCATAAAGACTTGCTTTTAGCTGTTGGAATACGAATCAGATATTTGCTAAGTATTTTGTATACAACACATTTTCTGATGAAGAATTTCGTCAGTTAATTTCTGGCTCATTTGTTCTAAAAATAAAATTATTACAAAGAAAGTAAAAAAAATATTTAAGCATTACTTTTTTCTCTTAGAAACTATCTGACCCGACAAATTAAAGTATACTCGAGGAATTACCATACGTGCGTTTCCTTTTGCAGGTCTTGATCCTCCAACACTTTTTAAATTACTTAAATGATTTGCATAGCCCTCTGTCAATATAGTCGCATTTGCTTGCAATTTCTTGCTCACCTTTACATTAAATTACAATTAATTTTAATTATAATAAAGAAAAATTTTTCTTCTGCATGAATTTTTTATTTTTTGTAAAAATAAAAACTTAATGCAGACTCCACGTACAAAAATATATTGTGATCCATGTGCAAAAAAATTTTCGTTCAACCTTTTTTATCAAGTATTTAGTGTTAAAACTAAATTTCTAACATACACGCTTACTATTGTAGCTAAATCAATTTTTAATATATAATAAGTTTACTACCTTTCCAACTATAAACATTTGACTAGGCTGAAGTCCGATGTTTGTATAAACACTTATGTCTTTGCTACTTCCGTAGGCAGCAACAATAGATATTCCATGATTTAAGATAAGATTATTTAAATAAGCAGTTTTATGTCCCAGAGGATCTGTTGACAGTCCGTCTGCGAAAGATATCAAACCGTGAGGAAAATTATGCTGACTTAGCCATGACACTACACGTTGCTGCTGTAGATCTGGTCGGCCAGTAACATATATTAATAAATAACCTAATTCTTGCCAATGTCGACACACATCTACTGCTCCCGCTCGAACTTTAGGATCTTTTCCTGATACAGACATTGATGCTGTGAAGGAACCATCTATACTAAAAACGACGCATTCTGTTTTCATTGGTACAACTGCCATATAGAAATCAACTGATGTATGGTCTCCTTTTACAACCATCTTAACGTGATAAATTCCGTAACCTAAGGATTTGTTTGATGGAATGGTATATGTAACCTTTCCAGTTTTGTCAGTTAATTCAGTTGAAAGGAAAACCCATTCTCCAGCTGGGGGTGTATCCATTACATATATATCAACTTTTTCTCCAGTTAAAGTGAACATATCCAGTGGGCCGTACATGAACTTAGCCACCAGTTTTTGTTCTTGTCCTTCTAAAACTATTACATCATTTGCTCTATGATTTGGGGCGACATTTTTAATTTTAACCGATGTTCTTTTTTTCATCCATTTTTCACATTCCTGCCCAGGAAAGGTAGACACATTATTCGACTGAAGAATTGTATTTTGAAATTCTTCAAAACAGCTTATCTAAAAATATAACTTTTGAATATAATATTCATATTAATTTATTTAAAATTTAAATACTTGTCTTAAAACGAAAGCTATAACATCAACACTTTCCCAATAGCTGGCATGAAACAAATGTGGAAGCGCTTGTGTCGGAAAGGAAGTCAAACCATCAGGACAGTATAGAGCATAATCAATACGTTTTGTTCCCCACCACTTATTTTGCACTGTAACATAAACGTTAAACGCATTTTGTTGTACAAGAAAAAAGAAATTATATAAGTAACTTTCATCTTACATATATTGAGAGCGCTGAGAGAGTTTTCATTATGCTCCGAGGAGTAGCTATGTACTGACACTTCGGAAAGTCTTTTTTGTTTTGATGAGTAAATATCGTTAAACAAGCGGGAATTAGAATGTATTGTTTCTACTGTAATTTTAAAAAATTATTTAAATTATTTTGAGTTTTAATTATTTTTAAGAATCAAAATTTACTTACACAAATGAATAGGATGACCACTTCCTAATGGCAATTTAGCGTACCGCGGAATATTAACGGGTGATAATGAAGAAAAACGTGCACTAAGTAATGGTTCAATTCGTGAGGCTGCCGGATCAGTAGGATGAAACATATTATACACTTGTTGGCAATTAGGTTTGGTTATATCTTTGTAATTTAAATTATAATTAATGACTTTTCATTTAAAATTTGAAAGATATTTTCTTACTGTAACGCGGCTCCCGGATTCTTCTAAAAGCGAGCATGACGGCGAGTGGTGTTCCAAACATGAAAAAATCGTTAACTTCAAAATCTAATTTTTTTATTTTTATATCATTATTGCTTGTTGCTTTGGGATTTGTATCATATTTTGAAATTTCTGAATTGCGGCATAGTGCTTCATACGCTAAAACTGACCCCATTGAGTCGCTTATCAATACCACTTGACCGTTAAAACTTTGTCCATCATCTGAATTTAAAAAATCTTTAAAAACAAAATTTGCTGAAGAAATAAGTTGATCAATTCTTTCTTGAAAGTTGTTCGAAATTTCTGTTAAAAGCGGTATAGCTCCAAGCGGTAAATCAATTATGTTATGCACGTCGGTCGAGGACGGGATAGCATCAAAGGAATATGGATTTAAACTTGACAATATTCCAATTGCTTCAGTACAGATTGATGGACACGGGACTAATCTTAAAGCAATATGATCAGATAACGAAGAATAGTGCTGTCGTATGACCGATTCAAAGTGGCCTCGGAAGGTTGTAAAATCTGATTTTTTTGAACCAATTTCACTTGTTGTATCTGTAATAGGGAATAATAAGATATACATACTTATACACCATATAAAAATATATAATTAGAATTATTATAAGCAGAATTCCGCACAAAATTATAATTAAAAGGACTGAGTACCTATTTTCATTTATAATAGGTGTCAAGGAATAAATCGTGATAAAAAAAAAGCACTTGTAAGCAAGAAAATTAAAATTTCCTATATTAGCTATAACTGAAGGGCATTAATTGTATTCTTGGATTAATAACAACGTACACCGAAAATCGAAGTATGAACCTTACTTGAATTGTTAATAGTTTGTTGCGAAAAAGCTCGCTTTTGTTTTTTTTTTAATTTGATTCTTAATTTCCCTCGTACGCTGATATTCCTGAAACTTTTGGGAATATTTTGTACAGAAATAAAGGTAATGCAAATGTCTTTTATTTTTTGCGTGAACAGTTGTTGTATGGTCACCACAAAGCTATGACTAAATATGAGAATTTCGATATATGGCAGGCTGTAAATTTTAACTCAACGCAACGCCATTCTATTTCACATGGAACTGTTTAGATTATATTTCGAATGAAGCCACCCTCAATTCATTCCCGTTACAGTCTTCTAGTTTCAATAAAAAAAAAATCGGATACTCATACTACATTTTAAATGTTTTTTCTGCTTAATATATGTAAATAAATACCTAAAACACTTCCAGCATGACAAACAAGTATTAACACTGTTGTAGAACAATAATTTAAAGCTGGTGAGTCTTGAATGTTTGCTATATTACCTGTTGAATTGGGTAGGAGTTTTGAAACTCGTACGGAAGTTGTTCTTTGATGAAATTCTGTGCTGAAAATACTATCTTCTATATAAGAAAAGTAACGACAAAAATTATATTCGGTTGATAAAAACAAAAAATTTCTATGTACAAGTATGTTACCACTAGTTTTTAAAGAATCTTTTTTGACTCCCTCATTCTCATCTGTCAATAGTTCTAAAGAGCTCCATTTTTGCAAATTAGCCCTGTCAATTGCTTCTAAATTTAAAATTTTAATTTCTAGTTATTTTTTATTGAAAAAAAATATATAATACAAACCTATGCAATCAAAGAACTCGTCATCTGAACCAGATTTGGAATCTATTTCTAAGCGTTCCATTCTCCAATTCGCAACCTACAAGGTTAGTAAATCTTTTCTATTATCTGAATTCAAAAATTTAATATTCATTTAGATTGTAGCTGAAAAAATTTACCTGTGCATCGAAACTTTGTGCCGAACCTAATGGTGAATGAAAATCTCCCGATACGTTGTCAATATTTGCATTAGAAATTCGAACATTATTGTCTTTGCTTTTAATGGAGAATACAATGAATACTTTTTAATGTAAATTTTTCATGATTTGAAATTAAAATTCCTTTTTTGAAATTGCTAATAAGGGTTTTCATGTAACTGTGGATCGGTGTAAAATGAAATAAAACAAAATCTCTTACATGAACAACTTAACCAAAAAAGTACATGTTTGCAATATTGACTGGTTTAAATAATTTTTAATTAAATTTAATGTTTCGTTTTTTTTTTCCTGAAAGTTTTAGTGATTTTCAAACAAATTGTCAAAATAAATAACAATATGTTAATAAATAACGAGCTAATTATGCACCAAGGTTTAATTCGAGTTTACTTTAGTTTAGCGAAAAAATAACGGTGCATATTTTTTATAGTTGAAACAACAACAATATCCGTCACAAATCCGTAGTGGTTATGTGAAGACCCTTAATAAATTTGATTTTTATTTAAGGTTGTGTTTACACATACGACAAGACTTAAATTATTGTTTACATAATATATAAAGTTGCATATGTAAACACTGTTTGACATCAGTCTCTCGACAAGTGACAGAACATAATCAACCTTATTGTGAATCTCACTGGTAGAATTCTACGAATTTCAAACTTACGCACGTAGACTTTTGAGTAATTATAAATCTCACTCCACTTTATTTTTCTGAGTGTCAAAATCGTTCCTTTATTACAGCTGTCAAGTGACAACATTTAAATTTTTCAAATTTCATGGTAGTTATAAAAAAAAAGAATACACATTTCAAAAAATAACAGACATTTCAAAAAACAACAGACAATCAAAAATCAACTCACTATCCTTCAAGAAAATCGTTAAGAAAATTTTAATATAATATAAATAAAATAAATTCTACTAAAAACTTGCATTTCCCTCTGTTATAAAAAAAAAATCAACAAATAAATAAAAACCTAAAAAAATTCAACGACCACTCTTGAATACTGGCTTTCTACGTTTGAAAATTTTATTAGTAAAATTTTGACATTTATTTTCATTACCAATGTGATTCATAATTACTCTATTACGAATTTCGTAACACATTTCTACTACTTTGGAATTCACAATACAAAATTCGTAATTTCTCCAAATTTCAGTGTTACAAGTGAGATTTACAATAAGGGTGAATAGGAATTACTTTGTTATATCTCGTCAGACAAATATTGCATACCGTTATATTTACTTTCAGATTTTTTTACGGGAAATTAGAACAGCAACCATCTGATTTTTTTTTGGTAAAAGCTAAATTCCATTAGATACTTTTTGTCTGATAAGCACTCAATACACTTTGTCGTAGATTTATTCTTGATTTTGTTGTATATGTAAATGACACCTTAATTTAATTTTTGGAGTGAATACCTTTCACAAACTTTGTTATAAGCCTCGCTGCAATCATCTTTGTTTAATATCTGGTCCTCAATAACGGGGGTGTCTTGGTGTACCATCAAAATTGTATTTTCTTTCTTATCATTTTCAATTGAAATTTCATCTACGTATACAAAAAAGTGAATAATTAAAAAATTCATAGCTTCAAAAAGAATTTCATCCAAAATTTACTATTTTCTAGCGAACATTATAGTAAATAAAAAATAATAAATTTGAAAAATTTAAATTATTATATGCATTGAAATATAAATATATATTGTATATGTATATATTAAAATATGTATAAAAAATGCATTGAAATATAATTACTTTTGTTAAATATCATTTAGGAAAGCATTCAAAAATTATATACATACATACTTGTAAAAATTTCAAAAATTAGATATACGAGTATACGAGTACTTACGCATATGCGTACTTACGAGTATTACTAAAAACTACATAATCAGACTAACAATTCAGTGTGAAATTTTCGCTAAAAAATGAAAAATTTATATGTAAGTTTATACGGCCGAATGTGCAAATGAGGAGACGATTGAGTAGTAGGTATAACGGGCACCAGTGCTGGAGAAATGGGATGGCCTCACGCTGATTGCTAAGAAGGGATACGACATCCAGAAGCCGTATGTTATTACCGTCTTCGTCTCCAGAAGTGAGGGTCAGGATCTAAATAGACACTAGCGATTTTTTAGCCCAAAAATAGGGAAATTAACACCCAGGTCTGGACAGGAGAACGGTCACATTCTGCGTTACCGGTTTTGGAAAATCCCCATTCACGGTCTCAGAATGGGACAGGCACAGAGGGCAGATTTGGAAGCGGGAGCGGTTGGTCATGGGAAACTTTTAGACGCCGCTTCGAAAGCAGGAAGAAGAATGAGCGATGGGGAAGCACTCTTCGGAGGGTATGAAACACCTGAAGAGGCAGGGGAAGAATCCCCTATCGACATCAAGAAACAATGAAGAGTGGAGACACTAGAACGGTGCAGACGGTATCTGGGAACACCAAGGTGGCCCAAGGCGGTATCCGCTGTCCTGGTAAAGACGAAACAAAGTCTCGGCATAGCAATGGTGCAAGAACCCTGGGTATATAGAACACAAATCAAAGGATTCATAATTAGAGATGTTCAGGTAGTAAGGGATTATGAACAGGACTTACCCAGGACCTGCATTCTAATAAGAAAAGAAATACTGAGAGGAGATATAAAATACTGAGAATTCCGATTTAAAAGCAAATAAAAAATACATATGTATATTGTAAATAAATCATCCTGTAGAAGAATATAATGTATTTTTTATTATAGTGGCGGTATTAGTAAGCCTAATTCTCTGATTTACCTGATATTGCTTATCAGGAAACCTTAAAACTTAATAAAAGTCTTTCAATACTTTTCGGCTCATTTTCGAACTTTGATTTATACAAACATATTAAATATAAATAATTATTTATAATTATTATAAAATTTAAAATCTTAAAATCTAACCTAATTTCAAACTTCAATTTGAACTAAAAATCAAACAAAATTTTAATATATTTATTTTATTTCGTATCTTCTATCTAGATTTCTAGACTAAAAAATGTTACACTAAATTTGTATTTATATTCAGTGTATCATCATTCCTTTCTCTAAATTCTCTCACATATGTTGCCTGCAATGGCGGTTCAAAAAAACGTAGAAAAAACCCCGCAATATATTTAATCAAAATCTTACTATAATTAAATTTTTTGCTGAAATTTGAATTTTTGATTTATTTATTAATTTAATAATAAAAATTTTGCATCTGGTACCTATTATTAGAATCCGTCTCACAAATGTCTCACAAATGATGATGTAAAAAACCAAAAATAAGTAGAATAGTTTAATTTTACAAATGTTATCCGTGTATAGGATGGTTTTAAAAAAAATTTTTGTGCACATATACGAGTATTGTGTGAAAACAAAGCACTCAAAACAAAAATGATAAATTCTTGATAAAATGCATAGGACTGAATAATAATTCCCTAAGATTAAATTTTTTTTCGATATAATTATTTTTGTATACTTCTCCACAAGTAATCAAACTAGTAAACCGAAAATTAAATACGAAATTTCCTAGTATATTACTTGTTCTTAATCATGCGATTGCGATTTATTTTTTATATTTTGCTCTTTCTTTCCGTTTCGTGTTTTTCGTTTTTTTTTTATTTTCCTGCTTAAGAAAAAATAAAATCTGGTCCAGATTTCAATGAAGATCAATAGATGGTTCACAATTTACAGATGGTTTACAAAAAATGTGAAATTCACAATTTAAAATTTTACAGTTGATTGGTAGTCAGGCTATACATATAGTTTTTGATATTACATATGCACTCCAATACATAATTATATTACTCGAATGCTTTGCAAAATTATTTAAAATATATTTATTTTATAACTTTTTACCGACCATATTGTGTATACAATAGGTAGGTTATGTGATGGCAACAAATTTTGCATATCGAGTTTTCGGTGGGAACGTATTTCTCCATAGTAGGGAAGTGTAAATAAACTATTTTCAGCAACCTGTCGGTCTGTGTGTGCACGCGTGTATCTCAAGATCGGCTGAACCGATTTTGATGAAATATTATATGTTAGTTTATTTCCACCATGGCACGGATTGATCAACTTTTGGTATATATTAGGCCTCGGGAACTGCACCTTTTAGCGGGCCTGTTTTACATTTTTGAACATTTTGAAGAAAATATTCAACCGATTTACTTGAAATTTTATATATAAGCTTTGCTCGATCGTCCGCGAAAATTCCTATGTTTTGGAAGAATTACTACAGGAAATTTACTATGTAAATTTTTTGGAAAGTTCAGAGCTCGAAAACTGATTTGCGAGCCAATTTTATATTTTTCACCATATCTATGGAACGAATTGATGGAATTTGTTGAAATTTGATATTTGAGTTCTGGTTGTTACCGAAACTAACTGGTGGGCATTTCAGGGAATTCGAGTAACACAAAACGAAACTGTACTAGGAGCCAAATTTACATTTTTCTAGGTATGTTAACTAAAAGCTTACTAATGACCTAAAAATTAGAAAGAAGTATTTAACAGACATTTTTTTCATAACTAGACAATACACAATGCGGTCGGTTATGTGCTGACCACATCAGATTTTTTTCATTGTGTGAGTGTTGAAAATAAAAAACCAGATAAAACTACGAATTCTTGTGTGTTTTGAAACGTTCATATATGTACATACATTTGAAACTTAAATTAAAAAAGAAAATTTTACCATTTTCTTTTTCCGCATCTTCCTCCTCTTCTTCGTCCTCGCTTCCACTAACACCTTGACCCATTTTTTTTGCCAATAAGACTTGAGTTTGCCTTTCAAATTCCCTTATATCTTCCTAAAATGTATTAACATTAATTCATTAAAGGCTACATTAGAATATGTTTTATGTTTGTTAAATCTTCACCCACATAGGGTGTTGTTGATTCAAGTAGTCTCAAAGAGTCGCTAACAATTATATTTAAAATACTTTGACAAAAACTTGAAAACATGATTTTGATTTTTCGAACTCGATTAAAATCATACTTAAGAATTCTGTATTTCATATCAGAAACGAAAAAAAAATTATTTAACTTAGAGAAAAATGGTAATTTATGTCACAATACTTTTCCAAGAAAAGCAATAATTAAACAAATATGTACATAGATTTTACTAGACTAAAAGTTTTTTACCTGTCAGCCCTTTCCACTTCTAAAAATTATAGCCTCTTAAAACCCTAAAAACCCTATTTTTCAAGTTAGTTATTGTAGCAAAATCATAAACATTTTTCATATGTGGCAAAACGAAAAGTAGTGGCTTCCGCAGCATACCATATTTGAACTTTGAAAAAACAAAATGGCGGTTATCTAAAATCCGTTTTTCCAAATATTTAGTATCGTGTTTCTGTAGACCACAGCTTCTAGGAGTCTGAAATTTTAGTGGTTTTTTTTGTTAGAACAGAAGTTGCTTTTTCCATCACCAAATACTTTTCAGTTATCACCGCTCGAAATACGAGTATATAAAATTTTAATAATTGGCACTATATATTTCCGAAACTACAAACTTTTCTAAATATCTATAAACGCAGAAAGCTAGAGGCAAATTCCATGATTAACAATTATGTTAAAAAATATAACTATTAACCTTTAAATTCGTGAATTATGTTAGCGTCTCTTTAAATTTTTTTTTGTTTTGTTTCTAAGATTACATACAATGATCATCCTACATGCATGCAATCTATGAAACATATTCATATATAAATGAAAGTAATTTTAATCATGTAGTACATAGTTAGGCTGTTTTTAAAAGCACTATCTTTACTTGTTGAAGGGAAAAGTCCTACATTACGGACCATATTTAATAGTTGCTTCAATAGTTTAAGAGCTTTTAAAGAAGCAAAGGATCACCAAAAAAACTATATCACATTTTTTTGACAAATGTTAAAAGATATTTAGTAACCCACTTGCATGTTTTTAACTATGTCCGTCAGGTGCCACGATTTGGGAGTTTTCTTGAATTTGACGCGATTTCCGTGTTGGTAGTCCTGATTTTTCTAATTACTTTTACGGAAAATTCCTTTAAAACTGCAGATGTTCTTTAAACCTCATATAACACCTTTTTTTCCTTTTCCTTTAGAAGGAGCACAGTGTTAGTACATAACATAATCATAGAGTTATTAACTATGTAGGTTACTAGCTTGTCGTACTTATAATACCTTAAATCTTATATAATTCTTATATAACCGTTTTTATATATTTCGCATAAGGTGGCAAATAATGTCAGCGATGATTCTTTGATCAATTTCCAGTAAAAAATGGAACGCGGAGAATCCTCCTCCATCTTATCTTCTCCCATGTTTAATGGAGGAGGATTTTGGGACTCCCTACTTCTTCGGCCAGTTTTTTCTACCCTTCACCGTGCACAGTGATCTTTCCGGAGCGGTATTTAATTGTTTGCTTCTTTCCTCCTATGGCACCTGCTGAAGTTATGTCAATGCCAATCTTCAGTAGTTGGCCCCCTCCTTCCTCTTTCTGCCGAAATAACTTCCAAGCCTGAATATATATTCCTCTGCTTTGAGCTTTGCGAATTGCCTGGGACTTCTCTTATTCTTGGCCGGCGCTTCTGGCCAAGTTCAGGGTGGTGTTTTGTGGCTTCGGGATTTCGTCTCCTTTCTTTGCTATCAACCACGGCGCCTTCCAAGTCTAGTAAAGATATACAAGGACGGTGTCTTTAGTAGAGGTATAAAGTTCTATGTCTGACATAGAACCATTAAAAAGACATTGTGTTTTGTTTTTGTTGAAAAATTTTATGTTATACATATATTATTTTCATTTTTGCAGCTAAATTGAGCTTTATTTAACACAATCACCAATATTCTGTTAGTCGCGTCACTGACGTTATAAAAAAATTTATCACGGTACCTTAAAAATGTTTTTCTGTTAGTCTTTTACGTAGAGGCGATAAAAATGTTTTTAGGTTGGTAGAATTGACAACTAACGTGATCTCACTCAAAATGTGTAAAATACTCGTATTTTGGTTGTGTGCATAAACATTTAAAAAGAAAGAAAGTTTCAAAGTGAATAGTTAAAATAATTGTTAATAGTTAATAGTTGTGAATTTTTTGAAAGTATAATTAATATTACTTTAAAAAAATTAAATTGAAAAAGTTCCTTCTTGATATTCCTTTAATGATGAAGAAGACCATAATAACATTAAAGTTGAGAGGGAACATCAGGCACAGTTTAAACCTTTTGGAATTTGCCACGGCATTATGATACATTTTTCACTGGTAGATGTATCCTTCTAGAACCGCAATTACAAACCGTGAAAATGTAAACAAAATATAACCGAATATTGTGCTCTGCATAACCTATGTACAAAACTTAACGGTTTAAGAAGAAGTGAGTTTAGAAGGTGCTAAAAGCGAATGTGAGAATGAGGAAATCCTATTCTTGGTTAAAAGTACGTAAGTAAATAATAACACCAAATAATGTTTATAAATTAAAAAAAAAACTCAATCTCTTACACACTAATAGAATTTTTTATGTTATATGAATTTCTTTCTTCATAAAAATTCTTGAAAATTAAAATGTTTTTATCTACTTTGTAAACAGCTGAAACGTTAATAAATTTCTTTGTAATAAGAAAACAAATGTTGAAAAACTAATTTAAAAAACTAAAACACAAAAATATCAAAAAGCAAATCTTGACTACAATTTAAGCGAACTGTTAAAAGTCAAATCTTAAAACTAAAAAGAAAAGAAAAGGAAATGAAACGGTCAAAACTCAAAACTATAAAAACAAATTGAAATATATTGTACTTTTGGTTTCTATCAAACAGTCTTATCATATCAAATTTTTTGCAATTTTCAATAATTGTATTTTTATCAAGTTGTTCACCTTCTCTTTACTATTAAATAAGTTTCAATTTAGCTTTCGTGTGCTTTTGGAAAGGTAAATATTTTTTTTAAATCAAACGTTCTACTTGTATAGTCCCTCATATTTCTCATATACTTTTTGGAATATCTTCTTGCAGTGGTGTCTATTGTTAGCCTTCATGCTCCAAAAGTCCTGTAGGTGGTTCTATATTTATTGGATCTCTGTTTTTCTACATCTTAAAAATAATTAATTATTTAAACGTTGGCTTTATAAAAATAAAAATATTGAAATACTTTTCATTTGCATTTGCAATACTAAACGAATCTACCCTTGGATAAGCTATTTAAGTTAAGCTACAGCTTCCTCCAAGTTTGTTAGTTGTTGAGCCGTATTGGATCTGCATGCTGGTGTTTTAACTTGTTTTTTTTTTAAATATACCTTGACTTCCAAAACAGGGTGAAAAGGTAAAATATACATTGTGTCACATTCCAAAATGTATATTAAAAACTTTTCACATTGTACACTATTCTAAAATGTATCGACTACGTAAGCCGAAACGTAGAATAAAAGCAGAACAAAAAAATTGAGACTGCCATTTGTAAACATCTGGATATTTTTGAATTAAATGTTAGAAGTATATTTTCATTATAATAGTATATCTTCTTCTTTGACATATTTCTTATTACAGTGGAATCCGCTTATAGTCACTACTGTTTATAGTCATAATTCGGTTACAGTCAACAATTTCGTTGTCAACATCTTTTTTATTATATTTTCATGTATTTTCATTTGTTTATAGTCACAAACGTTTATAGTCACATACGGTTATTGGATCGTATTTTTTGCGAACCATATTGCTTAATTCATATATTTGACGTCGCTTATAGTCACATACTCTGAACGCCTTTTTTTTTAAAGCGGTAAGTAGTTTTACTACCTACTTTACGGCAAATAGTTTAATAACAATATTTGTTGTCGAATTTGTAGCGGCAAATATTGTAACTTTAATATTTTTTTCTGTCACTTTTGTGTATGTACATACATAGGTACATTATTTCCACAACAAAAATTTGTCATTACATACATGTAGACGTTAGATTTGATTCCTTAAAGAATTTTTTGAATATTGTTTTGTTTTGTAAATATGTATATGAATTTTTTGTTTTTGTTTTTCTTTGCGTAAAGCAAATGGGCTTTTTATTTATGTACATAATCATATAAGTACTTAATTTAAAATTAAATTTAAAAAAAAATAAAGTTTTGAGTTTTATTTATAAATTTTTTTTTTCTACTGACGCTTATAGGCATATGATGCTTATAGTCACACATTTTTATGAAATTATTGTGTGACTATAAGCGGACTCCACTGTATTTTTAATTTGTTTTCCAAGCCACTAAAATTTAAATAGATTTCGTTGTTTATAATTATTTCTTAAGAGAACAAAGAAATTGGAGGAAACACAAAGGCAAGAACAACAGATTATTAAAATTAAAAAATTAAGTTTTTAAAAAATCTTTTAGTATTGTTTATAAATTACAAATATTAATTTGCACGGATTTCAAAAATTTTAAATACAAATAAAGTTGGGCCAAACCAATGGTTTGTAGTGTAGCCCTTTTCCCTTCAATAAGTGAAAATGCTGCTTTTAAATACAGTCTACGTATATCTACCACATTCTTAAAATTATTTCCATTTATAAACGAAACTATTTCTAGGATTGAAATAAAGCAAAAATTAATTTAAAGTGGGTTTAACATAATGCTTTTAAGGGTTAATTTTGTGAGTTAAGAAAAATAATTATATTTTTATCATGGAATTTACCGTTAGCTTTCTGCGTTTATAAAAATTTGAAAAAGCTTGCGGTTTCGGAAATATAAAGCGTCAAAAAGTCAAAACTCCCACAACCTGGGGTCTAGAAGAAAAACGGCAGCAAAAATTTGGAAAAAACAGATTTTAGATAATAGTAAACGGCTATTTTGTTTTTTAAAAATTTAACTATAGTATGCCATGATAGGAGCAGCAAGTCACTGCCTTTCTGCGCTTGCAAAATTTGAAAAATGCTTATGACTTCAATGCAACAAATAGATAAAAAAAGGTCATTTTAATTTAGGGTTTTGGGAGGGTATAAGTTTTAGAGGAGGGCAGAGAGGTAAAAATTTTCTTCTACGGAAATAAGTTTCTAGTAAAGATATATGTACATATAAAATTTTAGCTTTCTATTTTTAAAGGTGTAGAAGTTTTGTAAACAGTCCACGGACGGACGGATGGACGGACGGACAGAGGGAAACTATAAAGCACTTTTTTTCAAAAATTTTTTAGAAAAGTACTAAAAGCAATATTTTTTGGATCGTTAAAAAAGTTTTGGTGATAAAAAAAGATATTGCCTTGTATCAAAAGTTTTAAAAAACCAAAAAACGTGAAAATTTTAACATTTGTCATCACTTAAAAGTTAGGACCTATTTTAATTATCCCGTCTACGACTTCTAATAATAGTAGAAGTTATAATGTCACTTCTTGGGATATTTGGGAATACTTATATATCTTGTAACATTGAAACAATAAATTTGATTCGACAGTAAAAGACGTTTTAATATAAAAATCACTATAAAAAATTTTCATTTATGTTGAAATAAGTGATTGTTAACATAGAACATAATAGTTCTCAACTGATGATATAATTAATATGTACGTTGGTAGTTCGGTTAGTTGAAAGATCTGGTTTTGATAATAATAATAGAACTTACTTGTTAATATGTTTCTGTCAACAGTTTTTAAACAACTAATAAAAAAAATTATATTTTTACATACTCGTACGTTAGTTCTTCGCAATTAGTGGAAATCGAATTTTTTTTTTGCATTTAATGGTGTTTTCTCAATTGTGTAAGAATACAATTTTCCGAACGTCCGGACATTGAGAGCTACATCTTGGGAGAAGATAAAATTTTTAAAAAGGAAAAAATTTCAGTTTTATTTTTATCTGTATCGCCTTTTTTCAATGAAATCGAAATTTTCTACATTTTATGTTATAAAATTTTAAAGTTTAATGCTTTTGTATGTATTTTATCATTTTTGTGGAGCAAAAATACTATATATGTACGAATATATATTTTTTCATTTTTATGTTTTCATAATACATATTAAAAAAATTAAAAAAAAACATCTTCCACATTTTGTTTTTATTTTTAAGATTAGATCATATGCCAAGTTACTTACCATAGTCAAACCATGCCATTCATCTTGCCATGCCCAAGCTTGTCTGTGTGCTCGTAGCATAGTTTTTCGCAATGCTGAAATAACACTCAAGTTAATAGACATATTTTAAAAAAATGGATAACCTCCAAAATTTGACAAAGGAATAATAATTTCTAATTGTTAAATGTTTTAACCTATTACAATGTAGAGTTAAAAGATACATATGGGAATCGCGCGGTGTATAAAAGAACACGAAAAAAAGCTTTGAGGTCGCTTTTAAGTATCAGAAATTGAAATAAATGTAAAACCCACCAAAAACTTAGAGTAAGAGCTCTTATTTTTGAGTAGAGCTCTTAGAATATTAATTTTTGTGGATAAAGTGTGATATCAAACTATTGATTTTTAGATATGTATAGTAAGAAGTTTAGTAGTTACTTTTGACACTATACTGAAGTGAAAAAACCATTGCACTCAATCTTCAAAAATTTTGTTATTTTTTCGAATAGTAATTTCTAATTTTTATACATATCTTGAGGGCTACTTAAATTTTCATTTGTCAAATTCAATGTAAAATACATATGTAAAAATTAAATTTTTAAATTTTTATTTTGAAATACAAAAATTTAATTTATTTATAAGCGAACTTGGCTTATTTAGTTATACCTCATAGATAGTGATTTTCACGTGCCTACATCACGTGAAAATCAATAAATAATGCCATATGTATTTCAGTCATGTCGTTTTTGAGTTATCTTTGGGACGGGCGGACGGACAAACGGACTGACAGACAAAGCTAAATCGACTCAGAATTCGACGCTGATCAAAAACATACACTTGAGTCTATATCTCAGACCATTATTTCTTAGCGTTACAAACGGTAAGGCAAATTTAGTATACCCTTCGAACATACGTTCGTACGGATATAAAAAAAACATGTAGAAAAGTACCGTGTCTTACCTAGAAGAGTTATTGAAATTTACTAAATATTTCCAGTATTTTTTAACAACTTTAAAACTTTCTCTAAGAAAAAACATTTTTGTATACAAGAAAGAGCACATACCTTTTGCAAAGCTCTTTCTCGAAAGTAACATTGAAATTACCCAATGTAAGCCCAATGTACAGGGCCTTATTTCAATTTCACTAAATGGTCTGCCATAATTGGAAGCCATCCGGGATAAATACTGAAAAAATATTTTAAATTAAAAGAACATCATTACCTATATCATGTATAAATTTCTCTAATTTAGTCTGCATTCCCCAATATCGAAATTCCACACGACAAAGTTTGTAAGCACACATTAATGATTTGTTATCCAGAGTCGGTTGTGTTTTCCCTTTAACCTGGCAACCGAAAATTCAAAGATTTTACAAAGAATAAAATTGTTTTAATAACTAATTCAATTATATTGAAAAATATTAAATAGAATTGCACCGCGAGTGGCTAAAATTTTTGATTGGAATAACAAAATTAGTTTTTGATTGGTTTTCGTCAACGGTAAAAATGTCAACTGCTTCCGAGAATGACTTTTTTGATCAAAAATTGATAATAGTTGATAACTACAACCTTAAAATCAATAAAATTCAAACAGTGGCCAAAATTCTGCGAAAAAAATTTTAAAATTTCTAAAAATTTCATTGATGAAGAAAAATAAAAAAAAAAAATAAAAAATTACAATTTTTCTAAAGTTCGCTCTAAATCAGACATGTCAAACACGGCACCCGCGTCCTGCGGCCTGTTGCGGTGTTTGAAAATCTTGAAATTTAATTGTTATATTTTTGTTACAAATATTCATTTATCAGCAGAAAAGTCTTAAAGCCAGAGTGAAAGTTCTACGAGGGGTTTGTCACACATCCAAAAACCGAACTTTTGCATATACGGTCATGTACTTTAACCGTATGTTAATGTAGCCGGAACCGAAATTTTGGTATTGATTGGTATTTGGAAGTGTAAATTACTAAATTTTATAATTATATTCCTATAAACCTTTTTCCAATATTTTAATGTTGGTTAAACGTGTTCGGAAGCACATATTTGTATGAACAATTGTATTCGAAATTAAAAAATTTATATTACTTAAGTTTTATTACTTTTGATGTTGATAATAAAAATCAAAATTTGTGTATATAATTTAAAAGTTTGAAGTTTTTTTTATTGTGCAGCCTGAAGCAATGTGCGGAAACCCTAAAATGGCCTGTGATGATAAACGAGTTTGATATGCCTGCTCTAAACAAAGATATATAATATTGCACTCTTTACTGAATGCATACATATATTGACTTCATGTGCGTCTTTTTCATTTACAAGTTAATGTGTATGTATTCCAAATAGGCCTAAGCGGTTCCAAAAAAGTGCCCCGCCCCCTTTTGCAACTCTTTTAATACTGAGAACAAAATGTATTTAGCATTGCACAATGTGCATCAAAAATCACTCTCTTCTAACCTTATCATGTTAAATGCAGGATTAATTATAGAACTAAAGCCTGGAACGCTTAGTTTTCAATTCAAATTCAACAACAATTTAATTAAATTCACTGTTTTTTAAGTAGCTATGGTCAGATTTATTTCAATCATTTAAAATTGATTTTTTGGTTTTAACAACCAAAAATTCACTTTTTGACGTAAGTGAAACTAAACAATAAACAGTTCCAAAAAAAAATAATATCAATAAACGAACTTTTCCAAAACGTGTTTGAATACAAAAGAAAGTAAAAATTTATTACTATATATTTATATGATTGTGCATTGCGAAATTTTATATTTTCAATAGAAACTCAAACTTTTACTTGTAATTTTAAATTTATGGAATTTTGCATTTTATACATATTAAAATTTGAGGTTCAAAAACTAGCAGTTAAGAATAAGTTTTTATATTTTTCATTATATTTTTTACCTACATGAGCTCCAAACCGTACTGTCACCTCCTAGTGGTGGGCCCCGGTAATGACGGAGGATAAAGGGGTGATTGAAACGATCAAAGTTACGTTCGTGTCGTGGTCATGTCTCGAGGCGAGCCTCTTGCTTTGTGAGTTTCAGCCCTATATCTATACGTCAGCTGACGACAGGGGTCCCAAGTCAAGGTGGAACAGCATATGCCGATGACTGCGTGGCTAAGGGGGAGCTTAGTCGTTAGTATGCGGACTCTGGATACCAGGCGTCCTCCAGTTTAAACGAGCCTTCCCATGGTATGCCGGGCTCTGCCATGGGTGACTTTACTTTCCCGCGTTATTCGTGGGACCAAGAATGGAAAACAATCTTAACAGCAACAACAGCAAAAGCAACAACAACAAGAACAATTGTGACAAACACGACAACTGCGACAACAACAACAATAACAACAGTGACAATTAACACTTCGGAACCAGAGCTTCTCTTGACTGACGCAGAGGAGGAACTCCTTCTCACGCCAGTAGAGGAAAAGGCGGCGCCTCTGATGCAGACGGATAATCAGGATCCTCTTGGACCTATTATCCAAAAAACTGAGGAGGACCTGAAAAGGTTGGACAATATTTCTCTGGTGCATCCAAGCGGCGTATCGCGGCTTATATCAGGGATGGCATGTCCCCAGAGGAAGCTCGCAGATACGAGAAGGAAAGGCTGGAAAAGCTGAAGGCCTGCGGATCGGTTGTTGTGGCCGACCATCCCCAAAAGAGGGAAAGGTCGGAAAGCAACACCCCTGATGCAGGGCCCTCAAAGAAGAGGTCGATGAAGGGCAATGTTGAGGAAAAGGTCCCTGGGAACATTCCTCAACAAAACCCGAAAATGACTTCTTATCGGGATGCAGTAGCACAGGTCAAGGTGGCCATCACTCATAGACTGCATCCAGAGGAAAGGCTATCCGAAGTCCAGATGGGGAAAATCAAAGTAGCCATCATGGATGAAATGGATAGGGTTGTGGACTCTCATCCACAATTCACTGCAGCGTTGCAAAGGGACGGATGGATATCCGTAACATGCAACAATCAAGACACCAGGGAGTGGATAACCAGTGTCTGCAGGAAGATAAAGCCTTGGGACGGTTGCGATGTCGTGGTACTGGATGGCGACAGCATGCCCAAACAGCATGTCTGCGTCACCTATGTACCAAAGGACGAGACAACCGTCAGTCTCTCCAGGGACAAATTTCTAAGTAGGATAGGGAAGCAAAATCCCAGCCTCAAGATAAGTTCCTGGAGGGTGCTGAGGATGGATAAGGAAAAGGACGGGGGCTGCTCCATCACCTTTTCCGTGGATGATTCCGGATTGGAAGATCTACGGAAAGCGGAGTTCCGACTTTTCCTGAATTTCTTCCGTGTTACCGTTCGGGTTAAAGGAAGAAAATCCTCTCAAGGTGCTGGCGGCAGGGCAGGACAAAATAAAAAACCAGTGCCCACCGCGACAACGACAACGACGAGCACTTCAGGCCAACCAAAAGAGCCAAAACTCATTGGAAAGTCTGAAGTCGCTCCGAAAATGGCGGCAAGGGAAACGGAAGGACCATCGACCAGCACGCCAAATACAAGCGTCCCGGGGGAACCAAAAGGGCTCAAGCCCATTGGGAAGCCCGGAAATGCTTCGGTATTTGCTGTTAGAGGGGCTAGCGTGGCACCTGGGGCGGCAAAAGAGGCTGTGGCAGGGCAAGCGCCCACCAAGATGTGTAAAAAGGCGAAAATGGGAGGTAAGGCTCATGTAAAGCCTTTGTCTAAAGGGCCAAAGCCCATAGACAAGAGCCGGAGGAAATAATATGGCTGTGAGGTGCATCCAAATAAATCTACAGCATGCTAGGGCATCTACTGATGTTCTGGCTCATAGATTTATGAAGGATCACCTCGATATCGCCCTTATCCAAGAGCCTTACATAGTGAAGGATCAGGTTAAGGGCCTAACAGGTGAGCTATTGTATGATAATACAACTGGGGGCAGGCCTAGGGCTTGCATCTTGTTTAGTAAAAAGCTAACGTATTTTCCCATTCCAGATTACTGTTCTAAGGATCAGGTAGCTGCGTTGGTGAAGGTGGAGTCCTGCGGGGGCTGGACAGAGTTCATTGTGTGCTCATCCTACCTCCCGGGGGACTCTGCCCACCCGGACGAGCAACTGAAGGATCTAGTGGACTTTTGTAGAAGGGGGAACTTCCAACTTATAATAGGAAGTGATGCCAATGCCCACCACACCGTCTGGGGAAGCAGCAATATAAACAAAAGAGGTGAGTGCCTACTTGAATTTATATATAGCAATAAATTAATGATTATGAATGAAGGCAATAGGCCGACATTCATAAATGCAATTAGGGAAGAGGTCCTTGACATCACCCTTTGCACTGAATTTATCGGCAGTAGGGTTGGTGGATGGCATGTCTCAAATGAGACATCCATGTCCGATCATAGGCAGATTAGGTTTGATATCATGGTCTCCGGGGGCCTGGCAGAAGAAATATATCGGGTGCCCCAATCCACAGATTGGAGTCAATTCGAAACGCTCCTCATGGATGGGATTAGATCCGTTCCTGCTTCTGTCAGAACGGTGATGGATATCGAACTGGCCAGCGAGGCCCTGACGGCGGCTATTACTAATGCCTATCACGGGAGCTGCCGTGCTAAGCCGAGGCGGAGCAATAGGAAGTGCCCGTGGTGGAATGAGGAGCTTTCAAGGCTTAGACTAAAGACCAGGAAGCTATTCAATAGGGCCAAAGCGTCAGGTTCGTGGGAAGAGTATAAGGACTCACTCACAAAATACAATAAAGAAATTAGGAAAGCGAAGAGAATCTCGTGGAGGGCGTTCTGCAAGGGCATTGATGAACTCCCCAGCAGTGCGCGTCTTCACAGGGTGCTTTCCAAAAAGTATGCTAGTAGGTTGGGCCTAATGGAACGTCCTGATGGCTCCATGACTGAGAACGGAAGGCAGACGTTGGAGCTTATGGCGTCAACGCACTTTCCTGACTCGGAGATTCTTCGGAATCACTCAAATGCAGTCATCGAACCGGGGGCACCCTGGCCCAGGAGGGATGACTGGCAACGATCCCGTCTAGTCTTCACGATGGGCAGGATTAGATGGGCTGTTTTCTCTTTCAGGCCCTTCAAATCTCCAGGTGATGACGGGATATATCCTGCATTTTTGCAGAGGGGTTTCCAACATATCGCTAGAGCACTGTTGGGAATTTTTCGCGCCAGCTATGCGTGGGGTTACATCCCTCAGGCATGGAGGGTGGCTAAAGTGACGTATATTCCGAAGGTGGGTAAGCGACCAAGCAACCACCCAAGGTCTTTCCGTCCAATCAGCCTTACTTCTTTTCTATTGAAAGCAATGAAAAAGTGATTGATAGATTTATACGGGACGGTGCACTGGGAAGCAATCCCTTGCATGAATCTCAATACGCCTATCAGTCGGGAAGGTCTACTGTACTCGCTCTGCAGAGTCTGGTGGGGGTCCTTGAAAACTCACTGGAAGTGCGGGAGGTAGCAGTTGGCTGCTTCCTTGATATAGAGGGAGCTTTTGACAACACCCCATATCATGTCATCTGTGAGTCGTTGCACAAACGAGGGATTGATGCGACGACTAGCAGATGGGTCAATCGGATGCTACAGGATAGGATTATTAAGTCCACCATAGCTGACGATATACTCTTCATCTCCGCTGCAAAAGGATGTCCGCAGGGCGGGGTTCTTTCGCCCCTCCTGTGGTCCATTGTAGTGGATGATCTAATAGCTGCTCTCAGGGGCTCCGGGGCGCGTGTCTGGGGATACGCTGACGATGTGGCCTTCGTCGTGCGGGGAAAATTTGAGAGCACTATTTCTGATCTTCTACAGCAAAATTTACGTGTTGTGGAAAGGTGGTGCAAAGGCGTTGAGTTAAATATAAATCCAAGCAAGAGCACTTTGGTCGCCTTCACCAGACGCAGAAGCAGGGACAGATTAACGAGCCCAATTCTGTTTGGTGAACGTATTAGTTACTCGAGGGAGGTGAAGTATCTGGGGGTAACCCTGGATGATCGTCTCTCTTGGAATACCCATATCGATAGAGTTATCGGGAGAGCTACGGCGGCCTTGTGGACGTGTAGGAGCTTCATCGGGGGGACCTGGGGAATTAGTCCCAGAATAGCACTGTGGCTATATACGGCCCTTGCTAGGCCCATCGTCACCTATGCGTCGATTGTATGGTGCCGTAAGGCTCAGCGGGCGGGTGTGCGGGCCAAGCTGGAAAAGCTACAGAGGCTGGCCTGCCTGGGAGTGACGGGGGCGATGCGGACGGCTCCCACCGCTGCATTGGAGGTGATGATCGGATTGCCGCCACTGCACCTCCATATATTGAAGGAAGCTCGGCTGGTGACTTACCGACTTCTCTCTGGCGAGGACGGGGCAGGGCTAAAGTTGGCCCACAGAACTCACAGAGACTTCATTGAGGGCGATCCGATTCTAAGGATAACCATGTCAGATACCTGTCTGCCGCGGTACAACTTCGACCACAAGTACAGGGTTCTGTTTCCTGATCGATGGACGTGGGATCGGGGTGGTCCGGTACTTAGGTCGGGTTCGAGCGTGTGGTATGCGGACGGATCCAAAACGGAGTCGGGTGTGGGCTCGGGCGTATACGGTGTCCGCCCGGACACGCGTGTATATGCAACCCTTGACCCGTATTGCACAGTGTTCCAGGCCGAAACACATGCAATAGAGATCTGTCTGAGAATCAATTTGGAAAGGGGGTATAGAAACCGCACCATCTATGTGTTCTCAGACAGCAGGGCTGCACTGCTGGCGCTCCGTTCAGCTCAGGTTACATCCAAGCTGGTCTGGAGCTGCCTTGCTGCACTTATGGAATTGGCATCGGAAAACAGAGTGATGCTCATTTGGGTGCCGGGCCATAGTGGCCATGCGGGCAACGAAGTTGCCGATGAGTTGGCGCGGAGGGGATCTGGGGCTGCCTTTGTGCAGCCGCTGCCTCTCTGTGGTCTGCCTTCTTCCGCCGTGGGGGCCAGGCTTGCCTGCCTACTCGCGGCGGAATGCAGTCGTCACTGGCGGGACACGAAAGGGTGCCGTCATGCGAAGGTGTTTGTTCCGGCGTGCTCCGGCGGATTCGCTGCGGAGTTGCTGGGGATGAGCAGGAGCCGGGTTCGCACTATTGCGAATTTCTTCACGGGGCACTGCCCGGTGAAATACCGCCTGCACAGGCTGGGGAAGTCGGGCTCCCCCCTGTGCAGATTTTGTGGGGGTGGCGATGAGACCGCCGTGCACATTCTCTGCGACTGTCCGGCACTGGCTGTTCGGCGCCGCAATTGTCTTGGACATGGGTCCCTAAGTGTTCGGGAACTATTGTCCAACTCCCTTAGGGATATCTCCGGCTTTGTGATTGGGACGGGGATATTATAGACGGGAGAGTGGGGTGGCTACAATAAGTCAAAAATGGCTGCGGTGGCTTGGGGGATGCTCCTGTCCCCACTCAGTTCCCTTAGAATCTACAATCTACAATCTAGCTTCTCTTAAAAGATCGGGGAACAACTTCTACACCCTTGAAGATAGAGGTTGAAATTTTGTATGTACATAGATCATTACTAGGAACTTATTGTCGTAAGAGAATATTTTTACCTATCTCGGCCTTCTAAAAGTTATAGCCCACCAAAACAGCGAAACCATAGGCATTTTTCTATTTTTCTAGAATTTCGCAAACGCAAAAAAATAGGGGCTTTTTCTATAGACCATATATGAACTTTGGAAAAACAAAATATCCGTCAAAATAAACTGTTATCTAAAATAAGTTTTTTTCCAAATTGTTGATATCGTTTTTTTTTCTAGACCGTCGGTTATAGGAGTCTGAAGAAAGGAATTTAGGCAGCTTTTAGACACTAATAAGAACCTTATTATATTAGGAGAAATTTTTTTACACCTCCATCCTCCTCTCTCAAATTATCGACTCTTGAAATGTGTAAAATTCAAATTTTTGGCACCTTATATTTCCGAAACTGAAGATTTTCAAAATTTTTATAAATGCCAAAAGCTAACGGTGTATGCCATGCCATCAAAAAATACAATTACTTTTCTTACATTCCTTTTCGAGCTACAGCTTGTGGGAAAAAAAGGTACCTGGTTTTTACTGCAACCTTATGCGAAAAACTCTGAATGTATTGTATAATATGTAGTATTTTATATATATATTCAAATTAATATTATAGAATATTTATACAAGCATATTTTTAGAAGTATGTACCTGCATATTTGAAATTAATAATTTTTTCTTTTTTTTTTAATTACTTTACTAAGCAAAAAAATTAAAAATTATAATTCTGACTTTTAAATGGTTTTATTTCAAAATTACCTTATTCCAATATTCTTCCAACCAATTTTCTAAAATTTTAGGATTTAAGAATATAAAAACATCTTAATTCTTTAAATAATTTGAGCTTTTGTTTTTATGAATGTAAATGTATATACGTAAGTGACACTAATTTACCGTCGAGTGGACCTCTTGATGTTTTTGTCGACACATATAAGGTGGGGTCTTCTTCTTGAACATAGTCACCGCCATAAAGCTGATCTTTGACAATATCAATTACATCTATAACAACATAGTAATTGCTAATTTTAGAATCTGCTTTTCTTATGTCGTAGTAAAATTATATTTGAAAACAAAAATATTTAGTAACACGGTTGCAAAATTGGAATATAAGAAAATTTTCTTGCTCTTCATCTAACTTTAGGTGAACTAGTAGAAGGCATCTATATAAACCTTAGTTTAAATGTTGATATAAAAACGTGGAAACATTAAAACGTGGACTAACAAAAGTTGAATTATAAAATTTTTATAAAAAGTAAAAAAAATTGCCTAAAGTTGTTCACTACACCTAAAACGGCTAAAACAGCAATATTGCTTTTTAAATAATCACAATAATAAAAGTAATAACAAGAAAATATTTCCAAAAAATAATTAATAACCAATCGACTTTGCTGTAAGAAAATTATTACCTACCGCACCGTCTAGAAGTTAGATTCCGTAATTTATTAGAATCATAAAAGAACAATATAAATACACTTGCCGTTATTTTTAAAATAATCGTTTTAACTTGAAAATATAACTACCATAACTTGAAAATACTTTGCAAATGATTGATTCAATCCGAATTGTTGTGAAACGACATTCTTTAATATATATGTATACACAGGGTGATTCGGAAAGGTATACAACAAGATATACCCTTGGTTAGAGGGTCGGAAATGAACTTTTGCCCCGGACTAGGTGAGAAATTTCTACTTATCCAAACTTTTTTGAATATAACTTCCGATCCGAAAATGACAGAGGATTTAAATATCCGGTTTTTGAAAGTGCTAGTACAGGGTTTAAAGACAAAATATTACTTAATTTTGTATTTTAAGTACTTTCGGAATGCCAAGCATCCGAACTTTGGAAAAACACAAATTTTTCCCATTTTGTATTTTTTTTTCATCCCTACAATTTTATGTGAAGTTTCAGTAATGTATTCACAATTTTATGTGAAGTTTCTCTAATAAAATATAAAAATTCAAAAAATGGTCATCACATCATCGTCCTTTGGTTCTGCAGCTCCTGATCAGCCTTGACCTCGTTCAGCTGCCCTCCAGTCAAGGACCACAATTCTTCTACAATCAGTTTCTACACTATCGAGCCATCTAGATCTAGGCCTTGCTCTTGCGTTGTATGGTCTTGCGTCTAGAATTCTTTTTTGCGCTCGATGCTCTGTCATTCGAGATACCCATCTTAGTTTGTGTCCTCATCAGATTAAAATCATCATTCATACAGTATAGACGTGATCGCTTTTACTTTTAATTTTCTTTTCATTTAATTTATTTTGCTTGTTATTTTCGTGCTTTTCTTTTTGTTTTTTTGTGAATCATACTCGTTATTAATTTGTAATAGTAATATTGTAACTGTAATCGCGTCTTGTAATAATTGAATTATACACTTATTAGTAATAATACAGTAACACCAGTCTAAGTGACACTTCATTTTTTTTTTTTTTTTTTCAATATTTTATTAACGAGTTTTAATATAACGTAACAATGTCCTTTAAATGCAATATGGTTAATTGTACAGCTACTGACAGTAAAACTAAGTCGGTTGTCTGTAAAGGCTTTTGTCACCGGACTCTTCATGGTGCCTGCATTGGAGCTTCAAGGGATTTATATCACCATTCCTTGAAAGAGTTCTTCGTTTGCACTGATTGCCAACAAGTGCACTCTCTTTTAAGGGCAATGTACGACAACATTGATAAAAAAATTACATCGCTTCATGAAGAAAAAGACGGGATGATTCAAAAACTATCGTCTATAATACAACTGAATAGCGATAATTTTCTTGAGACGGCAAAAAATATTGAAAGTCTCTCTCAATCAGTTTTTGATGAGAAGCCGAAAAAGCAAAGTCCGATCCAGAATACGCACGCAGAACAATATCCGCGTCTGGAGAAAAGCATTTCATCCTTATCTGACTTTATGGTATCAAAATGTGAGAAAATGATGGACTCAATTAACTGTCTCACCGAGAACCATTCTGTCATATCTAATAATTTAAAGTTACTCAGCACGAACCAGTCCAGTATATCAATGTCTATAAATGATATATATAACAAGATGGACCCGCAAACTACAAAGGAACCTGACTCTGCTGGTGTGCTTGAAGCTGTAATGAAACGACTGGATAGCATAGAAAGCAATCTATGTGACATAAGCAACTCGATTTCATTGAAATTCTGTAAACCACCTTCGCCAAAGAATAATGAAGCTACTCAAAAGGCAGTTGAGTCTCTTCAGGATGAGATCGAGGATTGCAAAAAAGTACCTTTTCAAAAATTATTAAGGAATTCCAATCATAACTCTATGATTGAAACGAGTGACCATAGCACAACCTACTTCGTAAAAGGAGCGCCAGTTTACGCTGATAAAATGTGGATTTTAAAATTCTTTCAAAGCAACTTTTCAATAACGGCCAACAGTTGCGATATAATTCATCCTGCGAGGTTGCGTAATAAGAAAAAGATCAAGTACAGATGCTTCAAAGTAGTTTTCCCACAAAAGTACGATTGGTTCTTCAGTAATAAGAAGGAGGCTTTCAATTTTAAGAGCTTAACTCTTACTCGTTGGAAAAACAGGTATGACACAGCTTCTGGTTCTAAATTAGTTTCTACAAATATAATTAAGGATACTTTGCCTAGACATAGTAATGACACTCACAAAATATCTTCCTCAACTACTAACAAAACAAAAAACTTTTTCAATAATAAAAAACATAGTACGAGTATTACTAACACTTCTAAAACTACTTCAACTCAGACTGAAACAGATTGTGCAGTTAACAATATGTTGGGTTCATCTAGCCAAAGGGTTCAAAAATACAATAACTTTGTTTATTCTCATACAATTAATCGGTATGACGACATAGGTAATAATATTAATTGCAACAGGAATGTTAAAACTAATAATAATAGCAATATTAATAATAATAATAATAATAATAATAATAATAATAATAATAATACTAATAATAATAATAATAACAATAATAATAACAATAATTATAATAATAATTATAATAATATTGATAATAATAATACTATCAATAACAGTACTACCGATAATAGTGCTAATAATAGTAATAATAATAATATTAACAAGGATAATGATAATAATAGTAATAATGTTGTAAGTAGCAACTTTAACAATGATAAGAATAATGATGATAATAATAATAATAATAATAATAATAATAATAATAATAATAATAATAATAATAACAGTAATAATAATAATAATAATAATAATAATAATAATAATAATAATAACAATAATAATAATATTAATAATAGTAATAATAATAATAATAGTAATAATAATTATATTAATGATGATGATAATAATAATAATACTAATATTAATGATAAAAACAATGACCTTGCTACTAATAAGAACTCTCCCAACTTTGTAAATCCGCTTCTTCCTCCAATAGTTCGTATGACGCAAAATTCGATACGAGGAGACAGCGTCTACGCGTTGTCTCGTTTCCGTGAACATAGTGTTCTGAATAACGTACGCTTATTCTTAGCATATATGCATGACCAAGATAACAATATCTGCATGGAGGGCAAGACAAAAACTTATTTAAAGGTTTCAATTAGACAAGAAGGCTTGCCTAACAATTATAGGGATCTACTAGAACTGTTTCTTAAATACTATGATTCTGAGGGGATTTCGACTAAGGATGCTAAAGCTGACTTAGAAGCTTATCGGCTTCAACTTGTGAGTAAAAGACGTGAATATCTGCAGAAAATAAGGGAAAACGAGCATAAGTTTTTTCGTCCCTGCACGTCAAAATAATCTCATACGTTTAATTGACAATACCAATAAGAGTGTTAAGCTCCTTAATATGTTTTACCATAATTGCAGTGGTTTGAGAGGTAAACTAAAAAACCTTTTTATTGACGCCAAATCATGCAATTTTAATATTCTAGTCTTCACTGAAACCTGGTTAAACGATTCATTCAAAAATGAAGAAATACTTGATAGCACTTGGTCCGTATATAGAAATGACCGTGATTATAATTCCACGGGTCAATCTAGGGGGGGCGGAGTTTTAATCGCCACCAATAATCATGTACCAAGTCAATTGGTATCTTCTAGGGTTTTTTCAACTTTTGACCATCAATTTATTAAAGTTCACTCAGGTAAAAATTATACCTACATAGGTGTGGTGTACTTTCCCCCAAATTCTGACGAGTCCTCATACAATAATTTCTTTGCAATATGTAACGATATATTCACAATTATGAATGAGGATGATAATATTGTAATTTTGGGTGATTTCAATCGACCATCATTATCTTTTGTCATCGATGATTTTGATAACCAACTTCTTCCTATCAATTTCATGGATGACATAGATTTTGACCTTATTAGTACTTTTTATGGGAACGACTTACAGCAGGTTTTTCGTTACCCCAACAGTAGAGGTAATTGGTTGGATTTAGCATTTTCTAATGCTTATGACACCATTAATGTTCGTTCTGCCACTGACGAAGAAAATCTTTTCCGAAACTCAATCCATCACAACGCGTTGGTTTTAGAACTACCCTATTCCAATCATAAATTCTCAAATACTTACAATAACGAAATTGTATATGATTTTATGAACGCTGATTACCACGGTATCAATTATGCCCTTAGTATAATTGATTGGGAAACGTTGTTGGAGCAGCATAATTTAGATAATATTATCTATGATTTTTATTCCATTATCTTTGAAATAATTGACAACCATATTCCGAAAATCCGTAGAAAAGACAAATTAAAAGAACCTTGGTTAGACCGTAATTTAAGACATTTACGCAACCGGAGAAATAAATTGTACCATAAAATTAAGCACTCTGGTAATGACAACAACTCACTTATAAATGATTATAATGAGTTGGCGAATGAATTTAAGATTAAGGCAAACGAGGCATATGATAATTATGTAAAAAATATCGGTAACTCAATAATGAGCAACCCTAAAAAGTTTTTCGACTTCGTTAATACTAAACGTAAATCATC